CACCTAACCCTACTGCACAGCTCACGGTGTGATCGGCACAAACTGCAGACTCGTTTAAACATGACATGATGATACATCTTGACAGTCAGAACGAGGGAAAAGTCTGTAATACAAGTCCTTAATGACTGCAAATTACCTTAGAAATTAGTTGTTTAAATTCTGAAACTGTTTGACTCAAATAAGCTCGGACATTTATTGGAGGAGCAACAGATTCAGCCTTTAGGTCGACTACGTGAACCTTTACCATGACCTCTGTAGGGAAGAGGGAAAAAAACCACAAGTGTAAAAAGAGAAAATTCAACAGACAAAGCAAACACACATACACCTGCCTGATGTGCTAAGGGGTGTCACTGAATACAAACAAACAGTAAGAACCTGAAAAGCAGTCCCATTTCACAACTTCATTTTCAGACCAATTTCAATGCCAGAGGAAAAAAACACTCCACAGTTTGACAAATTTTAGTATACTCCAGAACAATTAGAAGTGAGTTAGCAACACAGCAAACTATGTAGCTCTGAATATTAACTTCATAAAGTTCAGTACAACAAAGATTCTCTTCTTCCACACCTCACATTGAAGCTCTAGGCTCTGCAGGTTCTCTCTCTTGCCATCGTGCAGTATATGACCTCACCTAGCCCTGTCTAGATGAAGTTACATGTCTTACCACCAGGTTTATAGCACTGGAAGATTTGGTCAGGTTTTCTTGTTTCCAGCAGCAGGTCAAACATGTATGTTGATTTGACACCTCCAAGTAAATATCCCATTGTTGCATCCTCATCTCCCTCGTACGATCGCTCCAAGTAGTCGTGAAACTCATCGTATTTGACGAGTCGACAGCAATCCAAAGGCACAGCCTCCTCCAAATCCATGAGCTAAACATGCACACAAAACCCCCAGTCATTTAAGGATGGTGCACTCGTGAGTTCAGCTTTTTTCATTGTAAGCTAGAAATAGATCACTATGTACACCCACAAGTCCTTTCAATTCACACATCTCAGTTTTGGCTTCGGAAAACACGTGCACACTCATCAGATATGATACACACAGACATGCAGTACTGACACATGTTTCCAAAAATCACAAGAGGAGCCTGCAGCAAGATGCAGCCAAGAGGGAATTTTGAGAAGTATGTACATAGTACACCAAGGCAGGTCCTGGAAGTATTTTCAGAGGAACACATTGCCTATCAGTTATACCAAGTGGCCTCTTAGAGGCCTGAGGAAGTCATATCCACTGACTATCTCTCACTCATCTCACAGAGATGTTAACACATTCCAGATGTGGAACTGCCTGGCTCTGCCTCTCCCAGCCAAGAGGGAGCCACGGGGCACGAACCAAAGAGTACAAGCAGATAAGCAAGAACTGATGCCTTCCACTTCTGACTGTGAAAGGTAAAGACCATTGATGCCTTGGTGTTCACACAGGAAGAGTCTCAAAAGAATTCTCTTGTCTAATACAACATTTTCACTGCATACAAATATTTCACCTTACAAAGGCTATGGTGAACCTAACTGCAGCTCTCACTGCCTGGTTTTAAAACACAGACATGTGAACTCACACTGCCTTTAAAAGGGGCAGGTATATCATTCCAGTCACAAATCACCTGATGGCTACTAACAGAAAACTCGGTCACTGACAGCTGACAGGAACATCTTTTGAAAAACCAAACCACCACCACACAAAACCTGCCCAGAACCAATGCCCAAAATCCAATACCCAACAAAAAAATAACCAACAGAGCCAAACCCTCCCAAACACTCCCACAGCATTACAAACTGAAACACTGAAGACACACAACAGCACAAACCCCACATCTAACACAAACTATTCTGTCATGCACAGCATACCTTATAAGCTATTTCCACAGCTTCCTTCAGTGTCCTGTCCTTGTGAACCTCCAGTTTGTTCTCCATCATTATTTGTTTGGTGGGATGCATGCAGAACAACTTAATCTAGGGAATACAAAAGGAAGAAAAATGGTCACAAAGGCATCTGCAGATACCTTTCAGATCAGAGTACATTGAAGCTTACAACCCCATACTCAAACAACCTAGTGTAACACATCTTCAGCTCTGGGCCAGTTTGCTTCCAGCTGCTTACACAGGGAGAAAGCTCAAAGGCTTTGAGGTGTGTTTGTGTATCTGAGTCCCTCTGCATGTCGGGGTGCAACACTTCTAACCAGAACATCCTGTGACCAACAGGCAGTCAGCAAATCCTCCAAAACAAAACACACATCAACCAGGAATGTGAAATTCCTTTTTCCCCAGAGAATCGCATAATCTGCAGTGACAGAACCTCCTCATGAAACAATCACTCGATTCACAGACGGAGCAGCTGACTGCCATGCTTGTAAGTCACTGAGCTCCTATTTTGTTTGTTACTACTGCATCTATGGGTGGAAAAAAGTCTGCCAAATAACTACTTAAAATCAGTTTAAGAAACACCATTTCAAAAAGTAGAGTTGCAATAGGAAAAGACTCAGCAGCAGGAAACACCTAACAGGCAACACCACACACCCCTTGGAATTAATTGTGCTGAAATCAAGAGATGTCAGATGAACCAGTTTGGTTATGGTTTCAATAAGAACTCAAAGACAGGAACTCAGCAAACCCTCTGGTGCACAGGCTTCCAATAGACACACTGCTAATGCAGACACAGCTATCAAGGAGTACTTGCACTGTAGTAAAAACTAGTTTACTGCAGAACCATTTCCTCCTGGCCACGTGCTGCTCTGAGCTCAGCAGGAAAACCTTGCACGCGCTCAATCTCGCGCTGCCTCTTCTCCTGCTCCTCCAGTTCTCTCTCTTTCTGTACCAATTGTTTGATGTGCTCTGGATACTCATGGGCCTCAAGAAACTCTGTCAGTAAAAAGCAAAGCAATAGTTTAAAAAAACACATTTCTTCCATGGTGGCAGCACCTCAGGATTATGGGTACATATCATACATATCTTTCTTGCCTTTTCCCCTTCGCGCTGCCTCTTCTCCTGCTCCTCCAGTTCTCTCTCTTTCTGTACCAATTGTTTGATGTGCTCTGGATACTCATGGGCCTCAAGAAACTCTGTCAGTAAAAAGCAAAGCAATAGTTTAAAAAAACACATTTCTTCCATGGTGGCAGCACCTCAGGATTATGGGTACATATCATACATATCTTTCTTGCCTTTTCCCCTTCCTCTCTCCACTCAGATTTCCCACTACACCATGCCCTGTTCTTTCTCATGGCTCGGACTGAACTGTAGTCAGTCTTTTATTCCCCCTAATTGTACCTCAACATTACAAGAAGATGCTAGGAGCAGATTAGTATTCCAATACCAGTACAGGAAGCTTTGCTGCTGTACAGAAACACACAGACTGATGACTGCACTTGAGCCTGTCTGACAGTAGAAACAGGACAATCCCATTCTAGGAAGCAAATTAGTTGGCAGTAAAAGTCCCAAGATACCTACATCGTGATAAAATAGATATTGCACTTAATACAGATCACTGTACCTTAGGACATTTTGTTTCCTAGAGAAAAACAACATCAAAACATGCAATACTAATCAAATAAAAAAAAAAAAAATCAACTTTTGCAGCGCAGTTGTGTAACTTACTTGCATTTCTTGTTGGATCCTTCAGCCTATAGATCAGCATGTATGCATTTGTGGAGCTGGTGGAGAAAAGAACAGGTAGCTGAGCTTATCAGACAGATGGGAATTTTGGCTTCAGGAACTGCTTTGAGGGTTTATGGGTTTCTTTTTTTCAGTAAGGAGTTATGCAGTAAATCTTTTAGCAATAGACCATCCAAAAAGGATGTTAAAAAATAAACATCACATTATAGCAGTGATCTGAAACAGCAGCCAGGGCAGTTCTGACCATTCTCTGAAGCATCTGCTATTAATCTGAAGCTAATACATTCAGCACGTGCACCTTGGCCATTGGTTTGGCTACACTAAAACACCCAGAGACAAGTAATATTACAGTGCTACCAACCTGGCAAAAGCACTGGAATAATAGCCTCTGCTTCCAGAGGATCCTCCATATGTCTTCTTAATATCTTCCTGAGTTATCTAAAAAAAATAAATTCATGATTATCTGAGACACTTCCACTAAGAGAGCTGCATTTATTCTCACTAGGAAAAATGGCATTACACAATTAACACACAATAACTCTTTAATATTTGGCTTCTTTGCTGACTCCTAAAAAGCTCTTTCAAAGTGATCTGCTTCATTTTGCAACGAATGCAAAAATACTATTTTTAAACTTTTTAAAGTAGGAACTCCTTACAGAAACAACACACAGTTCTTGATTGCAAAATTTCTATGGACACATACAACTCCTGCACGAGCAGGACAGGTCTGATAGCACAGCCCAGGCTGTGACAAACCTACCCACACACTTCTGTAAGCAACAAGTGTCCTCCACAGGCACAGGAAATAAAATGTGAAATCCTGCCTGGTCTGTGCATGTGCAAAGGCTTCACACCAGCAGGAAGGAACACTCCTCTCCCCAGCACACACACACACTGATACACGAATGAACAACCAACCACCCCAGAAACCAGTCAGTGAAACATAGGCACATGGCAGGACATGAGGATGAGAAGATGAAACTAAGCAAATTATTGAAATACCTGCACATAAAAGCAGATTCATTTTATGCAAGTGAAAAACCACAAAACAGAAACGCGTTGCTTCACCTAGGAGTACAAAAGACAACTAAAAAATACTCTTTTTACCTTGCTAACATGCTGATCATTAAAGCTGTACCACTGGTCATCACTGAAGGATTTGATACAGGCATAATAATGGCCACCAGCAGCACTTCCAGAATGAACCATGACAGAGAAGAGCTCATACAGTAAAGAACTCTGTGGAGAGAAGAGAAGGGTGTGATAGGGATCACATCAAGACAAGCTGAACAACACTGGTGCCATCAGCACTGTCACAAATCCAAAACAGAGCACCATGCTGGCCCTGGAAGAAAATAACTCCACCTGGAACAAATTCAACCAAACATTTTCTTAAACATACCTTTTCACTGCCAGCTTTGGAAATCCTTTCTGCTGCACTATTGCTTTCAAGGCAGATTCCTTCATCAACTCCATCATCATTAGAAAAATCATTGCTCATCTGATCACTGTGACAACTGCCTTCGTTTTCAGCTCCACTGTCAGTGCAACTCTCAGTCTGAGGAGACTTCTTAAAAGTAAGACATGCATAAAGTTACAAACATTCTGTTATTCCTTGTTCCATGTGAAATGAAAAAATCCAGTCTGCAAAACAATGAAATTCCTCAAGAATCTAGAGCCCTCTCCAATTCAGCACCAGGGAATCAATCCTTAATGATTTCTAGACTAACTACAGTGTTCAGTTTCAAAGCTGTACATCACCTCTTGTGAGGTGAGGAGATTCAGACACAAGTTTCAGAAAAATGATTTGCAATATGCTTAGAAGCCCTGAGACTTGTGTCTGTACCACTTGAGTACACTTTCTTACAGATGTAAGAAATCTCAAACAGCTTCCTTATGGAGCCAGGAAACACCACAGTGGCTACAGAAGATGCTTCCTTTGCAATATAAAAAAAAAAACCACATGGACAGATATCAAACCTTCAAAGTGCAGCACTGCCATGGCTAAAGAACACTTTATGGAGACGAAAAATGTTGTTTAAATGGGTTTATAAGGTCAAAATGTCATTACTTTTTTTAATGAGAAGCTTCCAGAAAGTGAAATGCTGTTCTCTGAAACAGAAGAGTTTACCTCGTCTTCGACATCGATGAAGACACTCATGTCCAGCTCCTCTGGGAAGGTCATGCGGTCGTTGAGTTTGATCCTGTGCATTGTGGTGTAATCGAAGTCGAATCTCTTCAGCTGCAGCGTCAGCAGATATGGAAAGTGCAGGAACCTCAGGCCCTGAAGGAAACAGACAGCATTAAGCTCCACTGGCAGGTCTGGTGTTGACCCAAAGTCATTTCTACAGATGATCTGGACAGTCTTTACCTTCCTTGCATCACATTTCTTCTTACAGCGCTCACAAAAATACTGATTTGGGCCATCGAGGGTCTCGGGCTGAATGAAGGCATGCAGAGCTTCCTCCTGGCAACACACACACGTTACCCCATTTTTAAAGAATATTCACTACACAGGTATAAATCTCAACTACAAATTCACAATGAGATTGCAAACATATACAAGTACTTCAATTAAATCTACCACCAAAATTTGATTGACACAAATTTTGGTACAGACACAAGAACCAGGGAAACATGACGAGGATCCAATCTTTGTACCCAGCTCAAGGTAAACAGCCCAACCACAGCTACTGTCAACTCTCTCTCATTCAGTATTTGATCAAGCCCAATTGTCTTTTTTTTTAACAAACACAGTATCAAGTTACATTTACTCCTATTATCTTGCACATCACATTTAGTCATGTCTGTAGTCAACCGAGGTGAAAAGAAGCTTATTTTTAACCCTGCTTTGTCCCTGCTCTCCCAGAACTGAGATGGTTCTTCTGCACTCCCAAAAGAGTTTTTCCCAACAGATACCAATCCAGTAAGTGTAGGGGGAGGAACGAGGTGGAGGACACAAACGTTACTCAGTTCCTCAGGGCCCTGCCTGAACCTTCACAGCAAAGTTGGCTCTGCTGTTAGGATGTCTCTTAATACAATTCCTGTTCCAGAGCAGTTCACTGCTTTCTACTGACAGTTCACTCGGCCAAACCCTGACAAAGTTTCTGTGCTGCCCCACCTATCTCCCCACATCCCACTGCTCTGCAGCTCCTTCAGTCAGTGTTCCCTCTGCAGTCACCTTCACACTGGGAACTGCAGCCTCAGTGTTCCAACAGGCCCCACACACACACTTCAAATACAGCACAAAGGATCAAGCTAGAGATTAGTATGACAAAAGCTATTTCAACTTCTTTATAGTTCACAGAAGAACAAAACAGGCTGAAAAATCTCTAGAGATCATCTGATCCTAATCCCCTGCTCCAGTCAGGTCTAACTTAAAGCACACTGCCCAGCCAAGCTCTGAGCACATCCAGTTTTAAACATTCTGATTATGAGGTTTCTATCATTTAGCATACTAAAATGCCATAACAAACAGTTCAAATTATTGTCTGGCTCCTCTTCACACACGTGCATTAAATCTAGCCAGTAGTTTGACAGGGATCATACTGCATTTGTAAACATGCAAATCTGTCAAACCCATTAACAGGAGCATTAGAACCTCTATGGAAAGTTACACAACAAACAGCATCGAGGCAAAACTGCTCTTGGAGAACTCTAGAGACTAACTTCAAACTCTAGAGACTAACTTCCACCTCAGACTTCCAGAGTTTTCCCATGTTCAAAGCATATGCTCAACTGGAAATACAAGACCTTGTTGTTATCAATCCAGCTTAGAAAAAAGTAAAGATCACATCATCCACATTCTGCCTTCAAGAGTTTCAGCCTGGCCAGGGCACTGCAAAGTAAGCTCTCACACAAGTCCAAACTGATTCTTGCCCTGCACTGCTTGTATGCATATGTACATCCTCAGAAGAAAAGCTGACATGCAAAAGATGTTGAAAGTAGCAGCATTTAACAGGACACAGCTGTGCTTGCTACCTCTCCAAAATACCTGTACTACACAGCCATCTCCAGTTTTCTGCTAAGAGTTTCAGCCTTACTGCTGTTCCCTGTTGCATCTACTTTCAGCTGTTCACCTACAAAACTTGAAATTTTGGTTTTTTCAACTGCAAAACACTTCAGCTTATGTCTAATGCTGTTAAATTCAGGCACCTATACAAAAGGCACTAGTACCATACAAAAAATCAGGGTGTGAACTGTTGCTCCTGTTTACCTCCCTGAAATAAGCCATTGATTTTTATGCCTATATTTCTACCAACCTCAAGAAAAGACTGATCCAGGGCTTTTTTACCCCATGCCCTTAACAGTGCAGACAGCACAAGCACCTCCTCAGAAACCAGTTGGATTCACACACTGACAAGGCCTCGGTGCCCCAGTGAGTCTGTAGCTGTGCAGCCTCACTGCATGGATTTGGGGCATGGAGTGGGGAATCAAAAAATACTCCAAATGCAAACCTTAAGACCACACTGAAGAATTTCAGACTTAGTTCACATTAGGAAATAAAACATGACATTCTCCTTCCCAGTTCTCCCATGTTCCCACACATTGAGAAGCAATGCAGAGATCTTTAGAAGCAAATGCAACACGTCAGGTATGTGCAGTGTTTTGGCAGTACACAATGTCAAACAGTGGGATAATTCCCTTGATATGGCATTTTACAGATCAACCTCACTTGAGGCTCATCCATCCATTCTCTCTTATCAGAAAGTAATGGAAAATCACTTACCTCTAACTAGAGTTCTTTGAAGGTAGTATCCTCCTTAGATCCCCTATCTTGGGTTGTGTCGCCTGCTGCAAGTTCCCTCAGGAGCTGACTAGCAAGGTCTAAAAAGTTTTACATTCCCTTCCATAAGCCCTATTAGCGCATGTGTGAAGTTTGGGATCTCTTACTCACACCCTTTTACCTGCACCTGCTAAAGCACCATCCTCTATGGATCAATGGAGGATACTACCTTCAGAGAATTCCATTTAGAAACAGGCGATTTTTCCCTTCTCCAAAAGCAAGTATCCTCCATATCTCCCCACTGCTGCAGCTACAAAGCTAAAAATTACATCTGCCAGAGATAATACAAGTGCAGGGAGGAGAATCAACTGAATGTAATCAGAGTAGGAATTCAAAAAGCTCAAAAATTGAATCATCAGTACAAGTTGCAATCATGTAAGTTTGTGTAACAAAAATCTTAAAACTCTTTTCCTCGGTGTAGTAAACCCAGTAAATGCTGATTTACAGAAATATCAAATACTGCTAAATGTAATCTGATATTTAAGCTCTTATTTGTTCAAGCTTTCTGTGCTTTTGCAAATAGACAAAGTCTTTTTTTTTTAGCATTCCACTATAGACTTCTCCAGTTCCAAGGGAAAAAATTTCAGACACATGTACAATGCATTGTTAAATGCCAATACAACTACACGAACTGAGTCGTTTTTGTTCCTGGAACAGATCATAAAAATCTCATTGCTGAATAAAAATTACAACAAAAAATGTTGGTTTAGGGAATATTGCTAGAGATTGGCTTTAGAAGGTGAAAGGGGAAGCCACCCCCACAAAACACCAATCTGCAGTGAGACAGCTTCAATCAGCTCGATGGGTTTCAAAAATTTTAATGCAATATTTAAAAGAATTCAAAGGTCTCTGCTCACTTGAATCCTTTTTCCGAGATCAGTGCCCTCACTTTCACTGCTTCTCAGGATTGGTATTTACAGCCTGAAGTACTTGGAACCTGCACTGCATTGGAACCAACTCCAACCATTCTTAACAGAATTACTGTTAAGAATTATGGACTATTAGTGCCTTAAAAATATTGTCAGTGTATTAAATACATAAGGCAAAATACTTAATATCTAATAAACAAGCCAATCACAATGTTTGTTTAAAACAACCTTTACTCAAAGCCTTGGTGGATGTGTTCTTACTCTCACACCTCCAGCCACAGTCCAGGCATCCTAAGCTACAAATGTGGAATTGCAGTTGGTAATCACTTCTTTTGGGGGTGTGGAATAAAAATCCAATAAAAGAACTTCCACAGATTTACTAAGCCAGATACAAGCTTGCCAGCATCAGTAGTGCTGGAGCCAAAGTGACCATGAACACTGATGTCTGACAGGATCAAAATCCCTTGTTTAAAGCATCTGTTACTTGAGAACTGAACTTTGCAAAGCACAGCAACAACATGGCAATCAAACTAAGAGTTTTAAGTCAATACTCTGTTCTTTCACTGAGATTTTCAACAATGCTATGGAAATTTAGCAGATGGGCCAATAAAGAACAACCCAAATAAAACTTTGATCTTGTAAAAATATCTCAAGTAAATGCTGAAGATTTTATCAGGAAGAAAATAATTGATTACTGTAGCCCTAAGGCAATAAAGTTGCATTTCCCCTCCCCTTATACATGCACCAGTAGGACTCATCGAAGGGCAAAAGAAAAAAAAAACCAAACCAAAAAGTAAACCAAAAAGCCAAAAAAAAATAAAAATCTTCTAGAACTTGCTAGCTGGTTCACTGCACAAAGACGAACACCCCAAGATGGAGTATCTAGGATGATACTTACCACGTAACAAATTCTACCACTGTGGCATTATGTATTCTATGTGTGTATGGATGCACTATTAGCCAGACAATAGTACACACCACGCTCGCAAAGGCCTGGCTGGAGCCATAGGGCCGGATGACCAGAGGGATATCCAGGTACGTGTCGATCCTCCAGCCTTCATAGCCACACTCCAGGCACCTCACATAGTCCTTCAGTTTGCCTTGGTACAGTTGGTTTATAAGATCAGCCTGAAACGAACACATTCAACAAACCTTTAAAGAAATAAACCATAATATGTTTCTTCTCTTCAGCTTTACAAGAAAATGACTTTAAGGAAGCCTTAACTGCACAGCTACACATCTGAAATAGCACTCCCCAGCAGGACATCCAGCTCCTGACTTGGCTTTCTTCTGCCCAAAACATGTACCAAAGCTCCTCACACCACACTACGTAAGCCTCACGGTGAACCCTGCAGTTGTGTCTTAAGAGTGACTACAAAACCACCACGGGACAGTTTGGTTTCCAACAAGCCTTATCTGATGCTGCAACTCCTTCCCTGTGTCTCCCGAGACAGGTGCAGATAGACAAAGGGGGATGTGCCAATCCCCAGACATGCCCCCAAAGGCTGGTCACTTCATGTGCCACGTGCTGTGGAGATATTCCTGACTAGCTCCTGCATTAGAAGGGAGACCTTGAGCTTCCAGAGCCCACAGCACAGCCTAACAAATACTGACAGCAAGGAATCCATCACAGGAGTTACACAGCCACTTTCTGTGCCACGAGTGACACCTCAGCATCCACAGTCTGGAATATTCCACCTTTAACTGGGGGAGGTAAACACATGCAACACTCTTGAAAGTCATACAGTCTAGTAGCTTAACTATGGCATCAAAGAGAACTGGCAATTACTGCAGGTTTTCAACGACCCACTATTTAAGTTTCAGTGCATGTATTTCCCAATCACCCCTAAAACACCCAACAAACCCCACAGCACTGGACAAAGAACCAAGTTTTTCAGGCTTACCTGCTCCGTTTGCTTCCACTTCTGCTCCAAAGCATCAAACATGACCCTACAGAGCTCCTGCACATCATGTTGCTGCCATGCTGTTAGAAATGGAAATCAATCTCCATTAAAACAAGACATGATATTAGGCCCAATACTAAATGCAGCCCAGGAATACTTCCTAAAAAGCTTCCCATTTGCTGGGCCAGCGCTCCACAAGCAGCTGCCTCTCCAGTTCAGCCAGCAGGCTAACAGCCAACTTGCTCACATGCACAAACAAGAACTGTGTACACAAGAAAGAATATGGAAAATACTACAGAAATGCTAAGGTACAATGCTGTAAAATGAACTGCTTATGACTTATGTCCCACTTTGTGCTAATTCTCCAAAACTCAATTTCCACCTCCTTATCATCATGTACTAATGGAAAAAGCAACAGGTTATGGGGCAAAATTTCACCATGTGCCAAAAAGATAACGTTTGGTTTGAAGTAGACAGTAACACAGGCAATTCCACAAGTGCAGCGTGTGCACCTGACACTTGTGATGCACAACAGAAACAAGTTTCTCATCAAGAGCTACTTCTTTATGAACACTTAACAACTGACAGAATGTGTTTTACTTTGAGAGCCTCAGATGACATTCCTCTAGAAATCACACCCAGCAGAGTATCCACTCAGGCCACCTGGATTCCCCTGAGGCAGTGCAGCTGCTGAGGCAGACCACACAAGCTTAATAGCTGCACCTTACCTTCACTGCTATCCCATCCAAAACTCCGGGTAACATCTGTTGTTTCAATTGCCCTTTTCTTGCTGGTCTGCAGCAAAACAAACAACCTTTGAAGCTGGTAGGGGATACTCCTCTCAGGGTCTTCTTCAGACTCTTCAAACTCCCACCTATTGGCACACAAGGCAGAGGACAATTAAAATGCTTTGAAAACACTACTCAGAGGCACCTAAATCAGCATTTCTTACACTGCAAGGAGTCTGACATATCAGAGGTTAACTGCAGCTCTGCTCTTGGGAGAAGTCAAATGCAATTCCTTCCATTTCTGCAGTAAATGGCAATGCTGTTCTTTACATGTGCAAATCTAGCACAAGCAAATGAAAATTCTCAAGTGCTTCAGTGCAGACATGAACCACACTTAGTACCAAATTTAACTTCAATTTTGATGCTTTCAGGATTCTTTAAAAACTTGTCCATGCCACAACCAATAAAAACTTATGTTTTACTAAAAACCTGAAGCTTTTAAGCAGATATGATTTGGAAGTGTTTCCAGCTTGACTTTCCAGTTTTTCAGTACCCAAGTAAGGAAACTTTGACAGGAGTTCCAAAGGGTCTCCCACCAACAGACACCAGCAGAAACTTCAGAGCAGTTTTTGATTCTATATACTCACTTATACAGTGCATTTCTAAATTCAGGAGTCATGAAAAGTGTCTGCAGAAGGCTGTTCAAGTAGCAAGTCATTGCTTGATTTACTAGCCCCACATAGCCTGAAAATACAAGAAGAATGAGATGGAAATAAGGCAAACAGATGGGAAATTGCTCTCAGAATTAAAACACCTGACAAGAAAACAATACTGTGACTGTTATGCAAGAACTGCATCCTTCTCTTGCCATTTCTGCTATAAAGATTGAGGTAAAATTACAATTGCTCATTTCTGAGAGCAACAGAGAAATAATTTACACAACAGAAATAATCTGCCTGAATGACACAAAGCATAGGATTATGCTCCATGATAATAACCAACATCTAATGCTGAACACCAATGGGGACACAGATAACTGTAAATATTAAACAGAATAAACTAGAATTCCTTAAGAAACAGCTGTGCCCTAGGTTACCTACTGTCTGATGTCAGCCAGAAGTCTCCAATAACAACATAAATATAACTTGTGTCCCCATTGGTGTGTACTATTGTCTCAACTAGAAGTAAAAGCCCTCCAAAGTGCCCCCACAACACTATTCTTCTAAACACTTCACCCTTCATAACTGATTAGAAAAACCTAACTAAACTACTAAAAATCAGTGTCATTTTTGGTAGCTGAAAATGTATTGACTTTTATTAATGTTAACTGCAACTTACAGATTTTCTCCAAAACATGTAAATTGCTAAGCAAGGAGCATATACTGAAGCACAGCATAATGAAGAACCAAAATATGACTATTTATACTCTGCAGCTCTTAGTATCTACAAAAACAACTCCTAGCCACGAGGAGGCAGCTCTCCAGAACACAGACATGTCCTGTGCACAGACTGAGTTCAAACACAGGTATTTATTACCCTATAAAGGTCTTCTCAGTTCTGTTCAGTCACAAAAAGGTACATGGCAGATACACTCTATCTGTCAAACAAAAAACCCTTAAGCAGGTGTGAACTGGTGTGAATGTCATCTCTGTGCCTGCTCACTGAATTTGGTCCACAGGAACACACAGCTCGAGGGATTTGTGCCAGTACAACCCTGACAGCTCAGACAGGGGCACAGGAGCAGGTGGATACTGAAAAGTGGGGCCCTGAGTTTGCAGGGCACTGCACCAAGTAAGAAAAGGATAGAATACAGCTCTTCTGTTTCTGAACATGACAGAAAACATCATAGTGATGTGGTTTTTCAAAAGAAATTGAAATGTATTTAAAAATATCCCGAAGTGCTGCTATTTGAAAGGGTGCTAGAAACACCACAAGTTAGCACAGCCTTCAGGAGACAGAGCACTGTACCTGTCTCTGACTTGCACAGGGCTGAAGAACAGGAGTAACTCTGGCTGACGTAGTCACTGGTACATCCCACAGAGCCTTCCCTTGGCAGAGGGCCTATAAATCTCTCCTGGGCACCATCATCTGTCGTACCTGACTCCTCCTGAGAACACAAACACACACGTTTTATGCAAGCTATGCAGGAGCCCTTTACTGAAGCACCTACAGGCCTTACTTCCCCCCTGTGCCTGAGAAATCAGCCTTGCTAGGCACATCACACAGTGGCTCGTGTAACTTCAGTCCTGCCCTTCCAGTTCCCACCCCTCGAGACACTGAGCTTCCTGTGGCTGGAAGCAAATGCCCCTCGGAACACTGCACAACCACATAGAGTAGTACAATGCATACAACAAGCAAGTCTGCAATTTATCATCTCTTACATCTCAGGTTTTCTGCACTGAAACACAGAATAAGAGTTTTGCAGAATTTAAAAATTTCAAGCCAATATTCTTCCAAAATCACCCTGGAATTCTCATCTTGTGCACAAGTATTTACAGGTGGGGTTTTTCCCCCTTCTTCAGACAGCTGAAGTCCACAACAAAGGCTAACTAGGCCAGCATTACACTGACCAAGAGCTGTGTCATAAATCTTAACATATTACTAGTCTATCTGATCCTTGATCAGAAATATTGCAGCTGTGTTCATCTTTCACCATACCACGCATCTGAGGAACAGGAAATTTCAAAAATTTTTTGTGACAAAGTTACTTCTAGCAACACAGACAACTCATCTCTCTTCTTCCCAGAAGGCAGTCTTGGCAGCAGGTAACTGCTGCTGGTAAAGGACTGAGGATTCTGTCAGTGAGGCCTAACATTGCTTTCCAACACCCAGAGGAAAAGAATTAGCCATATGATTAAACCTGCATTGTTAAGGTTTATCTCTGAACATGTCAAGGATTAATTAATTATATAACCTTAGGAAACCACTTGCAGCAAAGCACAACAAATATTTGACAGGAGTGAATTGAAAGTGACAGTGACTCATTATGCTGACTTGGTACAATTGGTCCTACTCAGGAGAAACCTAGGAGTGTCAAACAGGAGTCAAAGCCTGTTGAGAAGGTTCCCAAAGCCCAATTTTATGCTATTTCCTGAGCTCACAAGAGCAACACAAAGCACATACACCTCTCTCCTCCCAACATGAGCTTACACAGCTGAGTGAAGGTTTTACTTACTGGCATTGTATGAGGCTGTTCACCATCTTTGTCTGTCAAAAGCAGAAAATTTTTCTTCCCTGGCTCAAAACCAGCATCAAGAATAGTTTTGTCACTGTTCTGATCTATTGGAGTCTGCTAAAAGTAAAACAAAAAACACTTTTCCAAACAGATCTGTATGCAACTGGTAGATTCCATCCAAGCACATGGCCTGAAGTAGCTTCTGACACATTAAGATTACATGAGAATAAATAATTATCCAGTACAAACAAAACACACTCATCATGACTACAGAAATAGCGTGGGAACAGTCTAAGAAACAGTGCAGCTTAATCCTCAGGAGTTGGTTATCTGTTCAGGAGCCATCACACTGGCCTACAGGTTTCTTGTGGACACCACAACATTCAGTGTCCTGTGCAGTCTGCAGATGCTTTTTCTTTAAAAAAGGAAAGAATTCCCTTCA